GGACAGGGCAAGATATGACAAAATACCAATTTATAAATTATCAAGGGCTCATGAAGGAGGGGGAGCGGGGAGGGAGGGGAAAAAAATGAGGACCTAATGCCAGGGGCTTAAGTGGAAAGGAAATGTTTTGAGAATGATGAGGGCAATGAATGTACAAATGTGTTTCGTACAATTGATGTATGTATAGATTGTGATAAGAATTGTATGAGCCCCTAATAAAATGATTACAAAAAAAAAAAAGCAGGTTTTGTAATAAGTCACAATAGCTGCCATCAAGGCAATTCTGACTCTTAGCAACCTTAGGGAACAGGGTGGAACTGCCCCTGTGGGTTTCCGGGGCTCGCACTATAGGGGAGCATGAGAGCATCATCTTCCTGAAGAGCGGCTAGTTGTGTCCGTCTGCTGGCCTTGTGGTTAGCAAGCCCAACACGCCATTCACTGTGACACCAGGGCTCCGTTTGCGATAAGTAATTCACGTGATCTTATTTGACAGGAGAAAAGGTTTCTTTAAAATTGTTTTATTAACATATAATTCACGTATCATGCAATCTAATCATTCAATCATATTTAGAAAGTTTGTGGAATCATCACCATGGTCAATTTCAGAAGATTTTCTTGTACTCATTAGCCCCCCATTTCTCCCATCCTCCGTTGCCATGTCCCTAAGTAATTGTTAATCCAGTATCTGTCTATATATTTGCCTATTCTGAATTTCATATACAGAAAATCATATCAAATACAAACCAAAAGCAATCAATAAAAACCAACCCCCAAACCTCAAAATCCCAACAATAGTGAATAAACACAAAAATCTCAATCAAAAAGAAAACTAAATAATAAAAAGTTGAAACATTAAAACAGGTCAAAGGGGAGATCAAATGATAAAACGTAACTTAGGTTACAACCTAAGTACATCTACCATCATCTACAGCGCTCTCTGGTATCTAGGCCATTCACATCCCTGGACTGTGTATAGAGAGAATTCAGTGGAGGCTTAATCCATGTGTGGACCCTGCAAATAATGGATTTGGGGCTTCTACTGTCTTCTATAGCCTGTAAACTAGGTGTTCAGAATTTAAGCTCTGACACCTTTCCCTCCCTAGGATTTGGATTTTATTATTTATAATTCTTAGGTCACAGAGGCTGGTGTGCCTCTTCCATGTGGGCTTAGTTGACGTCTTACTTAGATGGCTGCTTGTATGAAGACAAGCCTTTAAGATCCCAGATGCTATTCTTTCTGATAACCAGGCACCACCTGGTTTCTCTACCACACTTTCCTATAGCACCCATATCTTTAGTGATCTCTCCTCCTCAGAGCGAGTATCGAGCAGGGCCATGTCATTAAGAACAAATTGTTCTTAAATTGGGGAGAGAATTGAGTGGGTGCCCGAAATCCATTCATGTATCTCTGGTTCACTTTAGAGGCATTATCACTTCATGATAGACAACATAAATCATCCCCTTGGGGTTTAAGCTAAATCTGTTGATAGCATCATTAATTTAACCAGTAGTATTGAACTTAAAAGGTTGTTGAACAAAGGATATTGTACAAGTGTAAGGCAGCTTCAGACTACAATACATGAATTGTTGACTTGTATAGCTTAAAGTCCTGAGTGACGACACCATTTACATGAGTGTGGAGGTTCGTGACGGGGCAAATCTTTCCATAATGATCGTTCAGAAAGGCAGAACCATGCCTACCAGAAAAGGCAGGCCGACCTGGAAATAGTTAGTATGTGGTCGTCCTGGACCACCTTTCATTTGGCGCCGTCAAAGCAAGAAATCCGAACCAAAGTCCAATAACCACCAAGTTCATAACTTTGGGATGGTAGTCATGTGTTTCTCACATTAGAGCACTTCGCCTTAAGAAAGTAAGTCTACGAAAGTAGTGGATTCCTTAAATCTACTACAGGTGAGTTTGAGTTAAAGCCCAGTTCCCTTAGTGAGGTTTCCACTTCAAATCCTCTGCTGTGGTCTATGAAAGATGTGTGCCTCAAAAGGACAGAATCTAAAGTCCCTGTTGTCTATATAGCACACGGCCTGTGTCACCTAGACCTGCGTCTATCTTGACTTGAATTTCCAGAATGTTTGCTTATCACTCTGTTAGGAGGGTCTGTTGATTTGGGGTGACCTGAACACATTGTTAAATGGCAGGAACTGAATGGTCTTCTCTTGAGAAACTGACCCCAGCAAAGTGAGGTCTTTTTTGTCAAAGTGGCTTTTAAGATGTACATCTGAAGGTCACTGAGTCTGAATCGACTTGTTGGCAGTGGTCTTGGTTTGATTTGAAGGGGGGAGACCTATTTCATGGGCACGAGGCAGGCTCTCTACCTTGTTGCTGGGGAGACCGCATTAGAAGATGACATGAGCAGGGAGCAGAAGCCTGCCTTCCTCTTAGAGTGCACATCCTTACGGAGTGGACTCATGCAATATTTGCCATTTCATGATTGATTAACTTCAATCAGCATAGTGGTTTCCAGGTCCCTCCGTGTAATGAGGTACTTCATGGTTTCGTTGCTGTATTTTTAGGATGCCCAATTTTCCACTGTGTGTATGTATCTGAGTGTCTTTATCCATTCTGCTACTGACGGTACTTGGATGACTGTTTCCAGTTTCTTGCTGTGGTGAACTGTGCAGCAGTGAACGTGGGAGACCTGTGCCTGGTGTTCTGTGCCATATTTCTTAAGGGTGTACGCCCAGCAGAGGTGCTGCGGGGCCGTGAGGTAGTTCTCTCCCAGTTGTGTTAGGGAGCTCCATATTGCTGTCCATATTGGTTGTGCAAACTTTCTGCTTTATTTCTGTGAGTATGTCTCACCTGGCAGAGAGCCTGATGATTGGATCTTTAGATATGGAATAAAACATTTTAATTGTGTTTAAATGAGTAATGAATAACCTTTTGTTCCTGCTCTTCCATTCTCATTTCATAGTTGAGAAACATAAATTACGCAGTTAAGGATCTAAGTTCGTACGTATGCTTCTCTTTGCACTGGCTTTACAATTAATAAGTTTATTTTTAGCAAGGCTCAAAAATAAATGTATCTCTGTATTTTTTTTGCCATATTTTTATTACTTTCTAGCTCCATTCTGTTAGCTAAAAAATGGCTGTGTTGTTTAAAAATACTTTTACTTCTTGACTTATCCCAGACACCTCTCATCTGAACAGTGACATCACCACCCATAGCTCATAACCAGAATTTGTTTTTCTCCAGAGCAAAAAAAAAAAATTAGCAGAAATACATACATACACACACATATATCCAATCCCCCTAGGAAAGAAATTCTTTGCTATATAAAGTTAATGCTGGTATTTTGTTTTTTGACAAGTCAATGAATTAGCCAAATTGTTCTCTTATGTAAATAAGCGCTTCATATAATCTCTATACATGTTCTTTTCTGTCTTCATCTGTAGGGACGGGAGCAGAACAAACCCGAATCTTCTCCTCTGCACATTCAGAATCCTTTTGAAACTTCTCTCAACGTCAGCAAAAATGTAAATCAAAGCCAGCTGCAGAAATTTGTCGATCTGGCCAGAGAAAGTGCCTGGATTTTACAACAGGAAGATAAAGCTCGTCCTTCCTCAGCAAGTCATCAGCCCTGGGGCCTGGCAGCCCTGTTGCTGCCGTCTGTGTCACACAGTAAGTCCCTTGCCAGGAAGAAAAGGAAAAAGCCTGCAAGTGAGAGAATTAGAAACTTGTTGGACTCTATAAAAAGCAGTGGGAAAGAACAGTAAGGACGTGGGCATAACGACTGTGCTCTCGCTGGAAGAGCTGCTTTTTATCATGAAACTCATCGTGGGGTCCCTCGATGAACTGGGGCGAAACGTTCATCCGATGCTGCTGCTCGTGGTGTTCTAAGCCTGAGGAAGGTTCCTTCTTCGTGAGTGCTGTGATCAGTGCCCGGGGCACCAAGGCAGCACCTTTAGGAGCACTTCCACCACAAGGAAGAGGTGAGAGAAGATTGGAATGGACTGTTCAGTTAATAGATCACCTGTACAAAGTGAATGATTTAACCATATTGATCTCCACCTCAGGCCTCTGGTTGGAAATCATTCGAAAGTTCGTAAATATGTAAGTCGTGAATACAATAAAACTTTAAACTCACTCAATACTTTTGAGTGAAATATGACTCAAAAGTGACCCTACAGGACAGAGTAGAATGACCCCTTTGGATTTCTGATGTGGTAAACCTCTACAGAAACAGAGTATTTTTAATGCATATTACTGTGTTTTTCACACAAGATATTGTTATTTAAATATAAATTAAAATAGGGTGATGGTATTGATTTCATAAATACTTGTCTTTTTTTGAGTAGACATCTCAAGCAGTGCTTTCTAGATAGTCTAAGTCAAATATACAGAAATATCGCTGTATTGTATTTTAAAAGATCTAGTTCCTTTCTCTTTTCGCAAATAAAACTCCATCTGTTAAGATGTGGTATTCCAAGCAATTTCTTTGTGTCATTTAAAAACATCTCTCTTTATGGGAAATTGATATGTATTGAAATGAGATGTTTTTGTAATTCCCCGAGGAGGAACTTTTAGTTTAAGAAGCCGAATGCACTCACAGGATTTGGAAACACAAGAGTTGAGTCCAACTGGCTCCATGGGAAATCACTCAGTCTCTGGGTCCTGGTTGTTCATCTGTGAAGTGGGGAGTATAATAGTGTCACCTTGACCCCATTCTTGTGGAGATGGAAGTAGGTACACAGGGAAGTATCAGATCAAGGGCCTGGCACATGGTAAATGCTACTTATTTTTAGCTATTGCTTTTCTGTGTTTGTGGTATATAATTATTGTTTCGCAACGGAAAATGCTTTAAGATTTACATAATACAGTGGTGCTAAAAATAATCTCCCATCCAAATTTTAAGTCCAAAACTATAATAGGCTCTGCTTGAGATATTTTGAGAATGGAATTGTATGCCCATTTAACTGTTCTTGCTGATTTTGTCTCATACCTGCAACTAGCACTCAAAGACAGCCATGGGCCACATCACCTTTCTTCGTTCATTGGCCAAGTGCCGATGTGTCCCTGGCCTCATCAGACTATAGTAGAGTTCAGAAATCTTGATCCGAGAAGAGGCGGTCGTGGACTTCACGGGACATAGCGAATGGGACGGCTTCCTGTCTGCAGCACATCTGGGTCATCATGTCTCTTGTGTGCAAAGTGGTTGCACTGCCAGGGGGGTGACAGTATAAAACACACATAGCCTTCAATGCATATATCTTGAGAATCATAACAGACACCTGTCCTACTTGCATGTGTGTTTGCTAGACTATTTTGAATGAGAGTCGAAAGCCTGCAGTCTGAAATGGACCCGTGTGAAGGTAGATTCCCCACCTCCATCTTTAAATCTTCACATGAGTCTAGAGTCTGCGGACTTTCAAGGCTGCCTTTTCTAACAGGAGCTTCTCTAACCTTTGTGTTTTCTTTCTGGTCAAGCACATGGGCCATATCACTGTTCAGCCCTGGGAGTCCTTACCTTGATGGTCAAACACGCAGGCACGACAGTCTGTATCTAAAGAGCCTTTTTTGTTTGTTTATTTCTTCTGACGGGTCTTGACGTAGCATTCACTACCAAAGCTTCCAGTGCCCCCTCAGGAACACATGCTTGAGAAAGTCATTCTCATAGCAGTCTCCCAGAAACTCCCTGCTGTCTGTCCATCCTGCGCTCACCCTGTCATTGGCGGGAGAACACGCCCTGCAACTATGGACCCGTAATTGACCCGTAACCCCAGCGCTCTTCCACTTTTCCCGCTCGAAACCCCTTTCAAAGCCTGAGAAACTGGCATCACAAGCAAGCAAGCGCTGCCGGAAACACCCGGATTCATTATGCATTTGATGTTCAATTATTTCTTGGTCTTTGTTCAGGATTTTTTTACTTTTGCCCAATTTCTCGTGGCTCCCACTTTCAGTTGCACCTGAGATTGTGACCCACGGTTGAAGAAGCTTTGCTTTAGCCGTGTGTTTTCACATAGCTGTTACCCACTACTCTCTGCTAAAGGCCCTGCTCTCCAAGATCCTGAGATAGCTGAGACTCACTGTCTTTTCACACAGTCAGGATTTTGTAGGTTTACTTCCTGCTTCAACTGAACAGCAGTGCTTGCTTATTGCCCATGGACCGGCCATCTTCACAACGAATTTGGATAGCATCCCAGTCTGGACCATCTCTGGACTTTCAATAAATTGCTTGATTTTATAGTTTGTTTTCACTCTCAAACTCAATACTGACTTTTAGCAACCCTATAGGACAGGGTAGAACTGATCCTGGGAGTTCCAGAGACTAACTCTTGAAAGGAGTAGAAAGCCTTGTCTTTCTCCTGTGGAGCAGCCAGTGGTTTTGAACAGCTGACCACATAGTTTAACAGCCCATTTACCTTACTTTTACGTTCTCTTTTCAACCTGTCTACTGGGCATTACGGCAAAACAGGTTGCCTTGTCTGTACTAACACCTAGTGCCCAATGGCCAGTACAGCTAAACTTTTTGCTATCTTCTGGAGATGCAGCACCACACAGGTGGTTCTGCATTAAGAAACACGAGCTGATAGCAAGAGCTCAAGTAGAAAGAAAATGTTTTGAGAATGATGATGGCAACAAATGTACAAATGTGCTTGGCACAATGGATGTATGTCTGGATTTTCAAAAGAGCTGTACGGGCCCCCAATAAAATGATTTAAAACACACAAAAAAGTGAGTTCCCACAACCCTCTAGGGCAGTGGTTCCCAACCTTCCTCATGCCGTGACCCTTTCATACAGTTCCTCTTGTTGTGGTGACCCCCCAATTGTAAAATTATTTTCGTTGTTACTTCATCACTGTCATTTTGCTACTGTTATGAATTGGACGACCCCTGTGAAAGGGTCTTTCGACCCCCAAAGGGGTCACGACCCACAGGGTGAGAACCAGAGAGTGAGGTTGGGCCAATTAGGGCGACAAGTGCCTGGTTCTTTTTTTAAACATTTTATTAGGGGCTCATACAACTCTTATCACAATCCATACACACATCAATTGTGTAAAGCGCATTTGTACTTCATTCTCAAAACATTTTCTCTCCACTTAAACCCCCGACATTAGGTCCTCATTTTTCCCCTCCCTCCCCGCTCCCCCCTCCCTCATGAGCCCTTGATAGTTTATAAATTGGTATTTTGTCATATCTTGCCCTGTCCGACGTCTCCCTTCACCCACTTTTCGGTTGTCTCTCCCCCAGGGAGGAGGTCACACACAGTTCCTTGTAATCGGTTCCCTCTTTCCTACCCATTCTCCCTTTACCCTCCCTGTTTCGCCACTCACACCACTGGTCCTGTAGGGCTCATCCGCCCTGGATTCCTGTATTTTCAGTTCTTACCTGTACCAGTGTATACCTCCTCTGGTCTAGCCAGCCTTGCAAGGTCGAATTCGAGTCATGGTAGTGGGAGCGGGGAGGAAACATTTAGGAACTAGAGGAAAGTTGTATTTCTCATTGTTGTTACATCGCACCCTGACTGGCTCGTCTCCTCCCCGAGACCCCTCTGCAAGGGGATCTCCAGTGGCCTACTAATGGGCTTTGGATCTCCACTCTGCACTCCCCCCATCATTTACTATGGTAAGATTTTTTGTTCTTATGATGCCTTATACCTGATCCCTTCGACACCTCGTGGATGCGTAGGCTGGTGTGCTGCTTCCATGTGGGCTTTATTGCTTCTGAGCTTGATGGCCAAGCACTGGATGCATGAATGACTATCCCTGTGACATTTAACACAGCACAGAGAACGTACATGCCAGCTTGGACAAGTTTTATTGTCATCTGTGTCCAAAGGTTGAAACAAAGGAAACTCACTGCCATCGAGGCAGTGCTGACTCACGAGACCCTCCACTTCAGACTCAAGAGTCTTCCCGACAGGTATCCCATACCTGTCAGTGTGAACTTGCTTGAAAACAGGGTCCTTGCTGGGTTTGATAATTCGTTGTGAAGGCCGCACAAGCTCACAGACAATCCCCATGAGGAAGGGCTTGTATTAGGGAAGTTAATAGGCTACCACAAGTCAGGATCAGCAAACAGTAAGAACACAGCCACTGGTCCGCAGCAACACCTCTCTAGCCAGCTGCCAAGTCTCTTTGGTATCCAGCATCTTATCCACATGGTCCCTTGGCTTCAGCCTTTGCGGCCTAGGAAGCCAGCCACCTGTCTTTCTGTCCCCTAGGCTCAGAGCAGATGAGGAAAAGGTCCCCCATAGTCTCGAGGTTGCTCCTTAGACTGCAAAACAGTCTCTGGTGCATCTGGTCTTGGAGGCCTCTGCTGCTGTAGACGGTGATCTTGGACTTGCTATTCCCAGATGCCTCTTGGGCAGAAAGCATTGCAGAGTCGATTGTGGCAGATGTGATTAGGTAAAACTTTAATATCATTTGATTTCCCTTTTGACTCATTTTAAAGCTCAGTTAAAAAAAGGAGGGGGGCGTGGGGAGATATACATGGATTCAGCACCTGGCGAATCCCCTCTGATCATGGGCCAGGGATGGAATAGCCTTGTTAATTTGCAGAGTGCACTAGAAAGTGGATTGTTCCAGATGCAGTTGGGTTAAAATTTAACACCCCATTGTTTGATTTCCCTTATGATCCATTTAATTTGTTCTAGCTTTTAATATTTTCTGTTTTTAATTGAGGCTTTCATCAGTTTTGCTTTGTTGTTGTTGATAGTTTTTGTAGTCTTGTTTTAATGTGTTTCTGTATAAGAAATCCAGGATAGGTAAATCTAGAGACAGCAGCTGGATTATGGAAGGAGAGGGTGGGGGGAACGAGGGAGCTAAGAATGAGTACACCATGAAAAGACTGTTCTAAAACCGACTGTGGTGATGACTGTCTAACTCTTCTAGATGTGATTGGACTGCATGATATGTGAATTACATGTCAATAAAACTTTAGAAAGAAAGAAAGAAATGGGGCTACCACAGTTAAAAGATCAGGCTAGACCACCGCCAAGTACTCCAATGGTCTACTTATGAGGCAACTTCAAAAAGTTCATGAAAAAACCTTTTATGTTTCATTTGTCTTTTATGTAAGCATTCTGGACCCCTTGCTACTTTGTACACTAAGCACGGGCATGTGATTATCAAGGATTCTGTAGGAAGTCCGTGGCCACGTTGAGTTTGGGTTTGTGTGTTTTTGTCACCTACGTTGACTTAACTTTCAGTGCAGTAAGTTAGAAACTGATGGCCTCTGAATTAAACCCCCTCAGTCCTTGTCACTTTGACTTCAAGGTTCTCGGTGTCCTAACAGTGCCATACGAGTTGGCGAAGAGAAAACGAATCATTTGCGACATTTCTGGTTTGGGCATTATGGGTGCCATATACTGGCTTAAATATTGTTTAAGAGAAACCAACTCACTCATTTATTTTTTGGTCCCTAAGCTGTGATGTCAGCAACCACACCAAGGGAGAAAGGCAGGGCTTTCTACTCCCATCAGGAGTGACTT